GATAACAAAATTTTTGTTCCAGCCTTTTTTACAGCCCTCAGTTCGCTCTATCAGTTCGCTCATCAATGGGCTAAATCGATTAAAACCGTTTTACCGCTTCGCTACTGAAATATTGAAAATTCATCAAAAATCTCATTTCATACCTGTCAAACCTTTTGAATAAAAAAACAAAACGTAACAGCACAATTTATCTCTGAAAGCATAATTCCAGCCAAAAATTTCTCTTCATGTAAGTTACCATACGGTTGTTCTCTTTTATTGCCCAGCTGGGGGGCGAGGGGTGACACTTTCGCGACAGCAGTCATTACTCCCTGGATATTACAACGGAGACCGTAATTATGTAATGGCAATATAAACGTAATACAGGCTCATTATTTGTGTTACGAAATCCCGGGTATTTTGACTGCTCTGAGCACCTGGACGACCACCGTAAATCGGGAATTCTGCGGATGTTTGGGAATGTTTGTACTCGCCTCGCGATAAATTATTCATTTCAATACTTGTGAATTCCCCTCTCCCACTCCAGTAGTTCGATGTACTTTGAATTCTAATCGCATGTTGGCAAATTGTTCAGGGCTATCTTTCCGGACGGTATAATTTCACCTCGGATACACAGAGACCCTTCCAATTCCACGGGTATGCGCCGTCGTTGGAACGAGTTTCATTTAGTTCTGCGGTCACTGGCAATGCTGTACCATTAGGACTGATGAACGTTTGCGGTTACGTCATACTCATCCGAGTTCTTTCGGCGCGTTCCTTCATGCTCGTCTCTCCATGCCAAACTCTTTGTCGAGTTTTTAGAATATTTCGTTGGGGAGTTCATTCGAGTCTGCGAATGTATACACTTTCGAATGGTTCTGGATGCCGCGAGGGCGCTGGTGAAATTTTGGAACACAATCGCAACGTTTACATTTTTATTTTAAGCCTAAATTACGATTTTTATTAAACGGAATTTACGTTTAGGTTTTTCTGCGTGCAAATATTTTAGATTATAGAATAAAGAACACGAGATAATGGAGAAATTTGAAAAATACTCCCGGAAAAATTACGTATTTCAATTAAATGAGTCTTGATTTGAAATTTTTTTATTCATTTCAACAACGTTTTTGTTGTAAATCAGTTAATTTTCTCGGAGAATTGAATATATACTGAGTTGTTAGAAAACAGTTATATTGCAGTCGAATTACGTGATTTTGCCAGGAAAAACCACAACGGTTTCTGATTATTCTAGAAAACTGAGAAATTGCTTGCAACCAGGACAATTATTCATTTCTGCCCATAAAATTAATCAATAGATTCAGAAATCACGGAAAAAATGCGAATTTTTCAGCAATTCAACATGAATATTCTCTACTCCATAAGAAAAAGTTTATTCATTCGCAATTTTCCGTGAAAGTCTTTAAAATTTTGAAAACTTGACCTGACTCTTAAGGGTTTTCCGTTCGATGTTTGAATATCTAAAGAGAGAGGGGATGAGGGTGTTCAGTAAATTTTAACGGTTGATCGATGATTATGTAAAATGACACCAATTATTATCGCCTTACCCAATTACGCATAATCAGCGATTAACGGAGTCAATGTCTTCCCGTAATTTTTAACCAGATAAGAATGAAAATTCGAGATACGGTACCGTATCTAGAATTAACTGCCATAGCCGATTTCCACAACACAAAACCCCAACTGTTTCTGAATATTCTAGAAAACTGGGAAATTGCTTCCATCGTAGCTATGAATATTCATTTCTGCCCATAAAGTTAACCAACAGAGTCATAAATCATAGGAAAAATGTGAATTTTTCAGCAATTCAACATGAATATTCACTACTCCATAAAAAAAAAAGTTTATTCATTCGTGATTTTCCGTGAAAGGCTTTAAAATTTTCAAAACTTGACTTAAATTTTAAGAATGTTTAGCCATTTTCAGCAAATCTTATTTTTTCATGTTCAAGAAAAATTCTATAATTTGTTTGATGTTAAATGGGATTTATGTTGAAATTTATATCTCACCTACTATAAGACTCTAAAAATAGCGATAAAAATCGAAAGTAATGTGCAAAATTATGCTGAATCGAATGGCCAGAACAAAATTTGGGGTACCCGCGCAAAAAGAATAAATATTTGAAAGATTCTATCCCATATAACCTCATGTTAGCGCATGGTTTGGTGCATTTTGTCCACTCCATTTCTAAATAATAAACGTGGGTTGGTGGATTGAAATTTTTATCAAGGTAAAGGGAATGACTTCATCTCTCAGTTGAAAAGAAATTAATTTTTTTTAATACTTGCGATTTTGGATAAACATCCTTAAGTGTTTTCCGTTTGACGTTTGAATACCAAGAGAAGGGGAGAGGGGAGGGTATTCCGTGAAGTTCAACGGTTGATCGATGATTTCGTTGAATGAAACCGATCATCATTAACCTACCAAATTATGCATAATGAGCGATTAAAGTGTCTAAAATCCGACCGTTGGAACGATAAAACCATTGAGATAAATGTGTGGCTCCACCAATTGCACAAGATTAATAGAGGTGTCAATGCAGCTACATGGGTCAAGTTTACGAGCTTTCTACACCGGTGAAACTAAAACATCCGTGCGCGCAGAGATTTTCATTCTCACAGGAAGAAATATTGAATTCATCAGGACGGAATTTATCAATGAAATTAATTATTTACTCTTTTCCAACAGGAAAAATCCGTTGGCTTTCTAAATTTGAAAGTTTTCTCGAAAAAACCATCGGGATTGAATGGGCTGTGAAAATTAATTGATGATCTCCCCCATCTGTTATTCGAGTGACGAGCGAAGTCATGAGATCGATTCGAATGTTTTGTGTCAAAGGGTCGAGCATTAACCCTAGATTGGTCACTACATGAGGGAAACGACGGAGCGCGTCGTTTTTCTCACGTTTGTCCCCATGTTTTTCGTAGATAATGATCAAAAAAATTCTTTTTCGACTCAGCGATGCTCTGAGCTAACAATCAAGATCACTCAGAGTGATTTACGATTAATATCATTTTTTTAAATTTTACATATTGAAAATGAAATGTTAATGTGTGTTTGTTTGCTAATTTTGAATTCTTGTGCATTCCATGAAGTACCATTCCAGTAATTTTTTTGTTTTAGTATTATTAATTTTCTTGTTTAAAGCTTATCAAGGAGAGAGTAATTTAATTAAGTAATCTTGTGAAAATCATTTTGATATGTACTTGAAGTTTTTAAAAAACGAATCCATGCTAGATTGAATCAAATAAATTCCGAATGCGGTGAATTTCTTGTGAAATCATTTCTCAGTTGATTCACAAAATTAACAGATAATTTATTATTTGATTCAAGCAGTTATTGTCGCCTTCATCGACTACATATGAGGATAAAACTCACTGACTTATGAGAATCCAATAAATTGAATCGTTTAGAATTTTTCCGTGAATCCATGGGGACAAACTTTTGAGTAATATTGTCTCAGGATATACCTTGAGAATATCCAAGTACTCTGGCTTTTTTTTCTCCAGTGAAAAGCTTTTCTATTTTTGCAGTCGAACACCAAAGCTTCCATTTAAGCCTATTTGATGCAAAATTTCCGGACATTTTACAACGACTTCATTATTTAAACTTTGCAGGTCTAAAAAACATTTTAAAAAGTTGAAAAAAAAAATTAAGAAAGTTTAATTTTGGAAGAAGGTTGATAAAATAATTTAAAAATTGCATTTACAATCAATTTTTCGCAATAAAAATCATTTGTTCGGAATCGTAACAAATTTATTTGTATTCAGAATTTTACCAAAAATCGATTTCATGCTTAAAAAAATAAATTTTTCGAAAGTTGGAACAATTTCAATTATTTATTTATAAACAACGAGTGTTGAAAATAATAATTCAGTGCAAAGTGTATTTTTGATGATAAATTTGATGATTGAAAATGGTTGAATTTAATTTCGAAATAGCGACCTTCATTCAATCAGAGATTGCATAGTAATAATTGTCAAGCCCACGAACCTTGTCCCGAATCATCAGACTCACCTACTCGTGAGTGGTCCTGGGCTATAATCAAGCCTTTCATAAATACTCGATTAACAAAAAAGGACAACCAAACCTCAAAAACATACAATCAACTCTTTTAGCCCCGAGCTTCGTCCATTCATACATTCATTACCGGGAATTTCACATTTAACATGAATAAAAAATTTTGAATAGAGGAAGATGCCACGTGATATGTGTGGTTGCACACGGAGTGGTATCTGTGAACGAATAAATCACGGGCGTTCGTTTCTCTGGCTATCGCCCGACAACGAAGATAGCCAGAGGGGACTCCCCGTTTTTCCTGCATCGGAATCGGATTGGCCTCGACGTTTTAATAAAACTCCGTGTCCCGGTATTACGGTCCACTGCCAGCATCATTCCCCCCCCCCCCCCCCCCCCCCCC